CGGCCCTGATGACGGCGTGGGGTATGTGATGAGAAACAAAGTGTTTAAACACCAAGATAGTAATCTTGAGCAAAAGCAGCTTTGGGGTATTTATAAAGAATACTTTCTGCCAGATGTACTTGTGGATTTTTGTTGTTGTTGTTGTTGTTGTTGTTGTTGTTGTTAGGGATTTAATATAATGAGAATTCAGCAAAGCATCAGATTGGTGATCCCATTGGCTCATAAAGCCTGATTTGAAAAAGTCAATTTATTTAGAAACAGTAATCAAAAACCATTTAGAGTCTTAAGTATTCTGAAAAAGGGTAATCACAAATCCACATTCATGAAAGAGCCGAGGAGGACCATATCAACATTAATGATTATAAAAAGAACCAGAGAAAGAGGCCAAATTGTTTTCAATAAAAAAGTAAACTTTATCTTTATGGAAATGTCATCCTGAACATTGTTTTTAAATGTTAAGGAGGGAAAACCAGGGTTGTGTCAGTATGCTCCCCCTCCACACCCACCTAATCAGGAAAGCAACACACCAGCCTCTTTTAAGAAGTGGGACAACTGCAAAGATGTTTTGACAAAAACAGGTCAATGTTTTAGCAACCAACTAACATAACAGTAGTTATGTCACATGTCAAGTAAACACATCAACATAGAATGATTATAAAGGGTAAATGAAGGAATGCATAAAGAGTTTATAGCACAAGGCCTTTTTTTTTTTTTTTAAGCTGGATGGATGTTCTCTCAAAACATTTACATATCAGTTTAAAGCTTAAGTTTTATATTGTCATCACAGGTATTAGTGCATGTAACTTCATGGTTATAGTAAAAATGAAATTCAGAACGTTTTATAATAGTAATGTCATACATCAGTGCCGTTTTTAAGATAATAAATTAATTTGCACTGTAAAGCAATACAAATTCATGACTTTGCTAACAGTTTATGACTGGTGAGTCATTATATAGCTAACATTTACTGAGCACTTACTGTGTACTAGGAATGTGTGGGAATTTCACATGTATTATTCTGTCTAAACCTTAGAACAGTACTGTGAGGTAGGTACTGTTTTATTATCTCCATTTTATAGATGGGAAAGCTGAGGCCAGGAAAGTAACTTGCGGAGATCTGTAGAGAATAGGTGCTTGAACCAGGATGAAAGCGTGCTCTCCAGAGCTCATGCTCTTAACCACGGTACCCAGGAAAGGTGTTGGTTGCCGTGAGCAAAGTGAAGGTAGGAGTCCATCAGATTAGATCACTGAGGACAAAATGGGGGAAGGGTGAGGGTAAAGATAACATTCTTCCTAAGGCTCAATTTCCAGGCCAGAAGCAGTTTTCAGGAAATAGAGGAGTCACAGCTGCAGAAATCAGTTTAGGGAGAGAAAATGGTTTTTCTAAGGGACATGACATTTGTTTGAGGGGTTACTCTGGAGAATTTGGAGATGGCAAAACAAGAGTTTGTGAGTGTGAAGGGATGAGATTGTGAGAAACAAAATAACCCCAAAAGACTTGGCGAAAGAGAAGGCGGACTCCTCAGTGAGTAGATGGACATGTGAAACTAGTGAGGTTTGGGATGGATGTGCCTCTACTGTTTTCATTGTCTATCCCTGCCCTCAACATTTCCTCAGACATTCCCTTCCTCCTCTAGAGGCTAACATCTGGGGCAGGGGGCAGGGGTGCTAATATGACTGAGCATTCAGTTCCTGGGCACTTGGTTACACTATTTAGATTTATGTAGTCTGAAAGAGCTTCTTGGTCTATAGGAATTGTCTACCCCTTGAAATTACTCTTTTCATGAGTTATCTTTTTTCCACAGGTGAGAGCTTAATAGACATGCAGTGTAGGTACCATGATCTGCTTCAGAGACATAGCATGTGTTATTAATACTCTCGAATAGGTATTCAGAGCTCATTCTTTCCATTGAGTATTGTATATACTTAAATCTCACCAAGAATATTTTTATACTCTCAAGTATATTTGCCATATTTTCACAAGCTTATCCCCCCCCCAAAAAGCATCAAGCCCTGAAGCAGCTGTTAAGAATTGTGGAGCACTTTTCAAATCTAAATATACATAATTTAATCATCAATCTAATGGAACTATAGCTTATATTAGCCAATGTGTTCTTTATCTCTTTCCCACCCATCACTCTTACTTCATTATATTTTCTGATTTTTCTCAGTCCTGAGAAAATGATCTTCTGTTATGTGCAATCTATGCAAATGCCTAATAGTTTATATAAAAACATCAGAAGGTTTTTAAACTTTCTGTTTTCCTTTGAATGCATGCATCATCGAACTATTTGATCTACTTACAGAGCAAAGGGTCGAAACTATAGAGAAAAGAGCTAGAATCAAAGATTATGAAAATTAAGACTATATAGGACTTTAGGAAACTGGCTACCAGAAGTATAGCTTATTTTATAAGGATTTTTTGAAAATATTTTTCAAAGGCACAGGTAAAATTATCTTGTGGAAATCTTATTTAAAATTTTTTTTTCTGAGGATTCTATATTTTGTCATTGAAAACAAAGACAGTTTTTTAAAAAGTGAAACTGTGGATCTAAATATAGTGATGTGGCTGTGTTTATTAAAGAGCACTATTATGCTTTGCCTTTCCTCCGATGGAGTTGGTTCAGGCACCCTTGTATGCCCAGGAGATGCCTGTGGCCTCTTCACTGGGTAAATCCAGTTTGGAACTGTGTATACTATATGAAACCACATTTGAAATAAGGTTCTTAATAAACCTTTTCCTGCATGGAATGCCAGTTAACTGCCTGCTCTTAATCGATAATTGGGCATTGACACCTCAATAGTGCCATCATCATAAACCACAGTCCAGGCCCTACTGTCCACCAGTGAAGTATTCGACCAGACTCTGAACATGTCTCATGTGGGAAGAGAATAATGCCCATGTATACCTTAGTGGAAAGAATGACGAGACTTTGGCAATGCTGGGACTGCTAAAAGAACAATAACTAGCTCAGCTGACACTCAGGATGTGTTCCCAACAGAAAACGAGGTATACTTGGTAGAAACAGAAAAATATAATAAAACAGACTTCTTCTGGCAGAGCATATGTATTTATACATTCTTCTGTGTTTAGCTCAGTGGTTAGAGAACAGTTCCTGGAAAGACTGCAGGACACAAATGTTTTCAATTTGAGTTTGTACATTTCATCTAATTGGTCCCTGGGACAAGGTTCACTGCCTTGGAGGTGGCTTGGCTCAGTCTTTAAAACACACACTAATGAATTTCAGGTTTGGGACAGAAAACGGCTGCGCTGTATCAGACAATCTTGTAAACTTGGAATTGTTTCTCATGAATGTCTTAAATAGCTATGTAATATCACTCTGGATAGTGCGTTCTTCTGCTGTCTCCAAACACAGATAACTGATTGCCCTTGCTCAGGGTACTCAGTGCTTGCCTACTTTTTAAAACTTAGATTTGGCAGATTCCTTCACTTTCGTAAGGGGAACATTGTGGGAGAAAATAGGGCAAAGATCATCTGAGTACAATTGGATGTATCGAAGGACATGTAAAAACAACCATAGAAGATTGGTTTGGGTTAAGTATGTTTTTGATTTTTTTCTCAGCCATTTGAAGAGAAAATTCAAAAGAGAGTCATCTCTCATACCTTTTCATGTTGATAAATTTAACAATAGTTTAGGGACTTTATTTCATCTGATCCAGCCCACCTGAAAAGTCAAGGAAGTGTGGTAGGTGAACATGGAAACTTGTTTTTGTAGATGGGAAAGAAGTAAGCTAATGAAGTCACAGACACCCCTTAATCAGAACGGCAGAGCCTGAGCTGTGTGCCCACCCCAGGTTGCACACCCTTGGCCGGGCTTCCAAAGACGATTCTGACTAGCTTTTATTCAACTGTCAATGTAGACGCATCAGTTTGACAGATATCTTGCCTGTCTCCTGAGATTATATCACAATTTATATTAGGCCAGTAGGGGGGAAAATGTTGATTTCATGAATTCTTTTATCTGTGAAAAATTGACCATGGACTGTCATTTCCTTATGGAATGGGAGAATGTGATGCTGTATTTGTTCCAGTTGTGTCATTCATCGTCTGTGAGGCTATGCACAGACTGTGCAAGTCTCCCGTCTGGGCCAGATGATCTCCAAAGGCCCTTTCTAGCTTCCACATTCTGAAGTGCAGCTACTTCTGCGCAAAGGAGGCTAGGGCCTCAATTTCATTGGTCAGCTAGAGACTCTGGGTAGTTCAGCTGCTAAATTCTTCCACCAGACGAATGTCCTGCAGAAAGTTTGTGTTTGGCTTGCTGGAATGATTAGTGAAAATCACTCCTCAGTGAAAATCACCCCCCAGCAGTTGTCAGGTGGCAGTGCCCCATCAGTGCTGGATGCTTACCGGGGACGGAGGCCTGTTTAAGATCATGACAAGCAGCATGAGGTGGTCAGGATACAGTCTGGTATCAGAAGGCCTTGGGTTCTTCCACACTCCTGCCTACCCTTACCAACCCAAACGCCTTAGCCTTGTACTTTGGTGAGTTATTTCACTGTTCTAAAACTTCTATTTGGTTATTTTTTAAAATGAAGATAACATCTACTTTTCAGGGTAAAAGCTTAAAGATAATATATTTGAAAGTGTCTAATAAATAGGTGGTGCTTGATAAATTGGTAACTACAGCCAGGAATTTGTAAAAAAAACAAAAACAAAAACAACAACAACGAGAGAGAGAGAACCTTATCAGAAAGCCAAGGGGGGAAAACTAACATTTGCAGTAGTGGGGGACATTTCACAGAACTTAAAGACGTTATCTTTTCATCTTTACAGCCTCGTTTTACAGATGCAGAGAATACCTGCACATTCCCAGGGTCACAACGCTCGGAAACAGTAGAGATTTAAGTATTCTGATTCCAAAAACCTTGTTTTCCTTTTACAATACACTACCAACACACCATTACACTTCGTTGATATATTTTTATAGTTAAGGTTAAACTTTGATGATTCTGGAAAAGGAAATAAATGATATTAAATGGTAGTAGTACCTATTGGCGGGGGCGGGGCGGGCGGTTGTCCTTATGCTCTTTTTATATGACCATAGCTCTACTGACTGCCATTTAAGACAAACCCAGGAAATCCTAGCCAGTAGCTCCTCACTTTGAGGGATTTTAATTCCGAAACAGCTCCTGGGGATAGCTGGAAGATTTAAATATCTCTGGGATGTCGCTGTCCAGTTTGGAAATAATTTTATAAATGGGTTTCTTCCAGGAAGGATCTGAGTCTTTCCCCATGGAGACAGCCCTGAAGAACTCCTGTAACGTCAAGCTGGCAATTTCCAAGAAGCAATCTGGGACCTGTATTTCCAAAGAGACCCACGAGAAAGAGAAGACATGAGTCTGTGGAGCACTGGCGCCATGCACACCTCGCTGCCTCATGCGGCCTGTGCCTTGGGTGGTGGGCTGATAAAGAGCATCCCTGCTCTACTGGCCCCTGAGTTTTGCAGCCCTAGGAATCCTCTGTTCCCCTATCAAATACAAACCTTACAATGATGGTACCAGTGATACAGACCTGGGAGAAAGCATATCAGGGACACTTCCTTCATAGCAGGAGTCGATTCCACTAATGGGTGACATTTTTAGTAAGTAAATGGGAAACTCTGAAATTAAATCCGTAGTTCAAAAGAGGTTTTTAACATTTTTTCCCTTCGCGCCTAATGTGGAAAAGAGTGCCCCCAAATTTATGACTGTTGTACCTCATCCCACCATCTTTTGGGGCTGGATCCAAAGGACTTGGAATCCTGCTTCCAAATCCAACCATGAGGCTGAGGGGAACTAAAGACTATGTTCTGGGACCTTGCCCAGACTGGCACAATAATTGCCGTGGCATCCCACAGGTCCTCCAGGTCCAGGATGGCCCGGGCTTACCACCATTGCAGGCCAGATGACCGCCCCTACACGGAAAGATACGGCAGTGCTGCCCCTCCTACACATCCAGACCCCACAAGCCCCAGAAAGGAGGCATGGTCCGTTTTCCCCACGTAGGCTTAGGTTTCCAGACACATTCTGATGGAGTGTCTGACCAGTGGATGTCAGCACTTCTTCTCTTTCTTGGAGATATCAGTAAACTGCTCACCGTGATCACAAGTGAGAAAGTCAAGCAGAGGGAAGTGTAGTCGGCGGCCAGACATACCCGGCACCTGCAGAACAAGATGCCAGGCTGACAGCTGTCAGCTGCACACAAGGAAACACGTGCCTGGATGAGGAGTTTTCTCCCATGATACGTAGAACACTTGCTCACCCTATACTAATGCTTTACCTCTAAGGTGCCACTAGTGTGCCTTCATAGAGAGCCCCCAAAGGACTGAGAAGCTTGAATATTGTTTGTCATTTCCAGAAAGGATTTGAGGTGACTTGCCATGGAAGGCCCACGAATAAGACTGTTCAAGTGAGAATAAAGAACCAAATGAATGGGAATCGTTGTAAAGAAAACTTAGGCCAAGACTGGGCTATAACTGAGCTCAGCATTTAGCCTTAGGCCTTCTGGCATTAAGGCCAAAAGGTCAACAACCTATGTAACTTGGTAATCACAGAGTATTAAGTCTAGAATTACATAACATCTGGCAGACCTCTGCTTAAGTTTCAGAATGAAGAATGGCTGAATATTCAGTTTGTGGCGTATGCCTGTTGCCTAAGAGATGCTCAGGCTGTAATCTTTGTGGATAGTACAGAGATTGGCCCCAGGCTGCCCTGGCTCTTGGGGACTTAAGGTCAGACACAGAAGAGGGTCTTTTCTCAAACTCCAATCGCAAAGGGAACGCACTCATCAGACCTCATGGGACCTGAGTAAATGGTCTTACCTCAAAGTCATTTCCCTTGTTATAGTGCATATTGAGAGCTCGAAAAAGTTCTGAGTCACGGAGAACCACCAGCATTTTGGGATTTGTGACACCATCTGAAATCGCTTGCCGGGCAAATTTCTCCATCTGGATGTAATAGAACTCACGGAAGTTGCTGAACCACTTGATCATCTGGGAGGTAATGCAGCGGTTGAACTGTGCAAATATGGGGGTCCATCAAGTCAGATATTTACCATAAGGTGCTCTGAGTTAGAACTGTCAGCTTCCAGTTCAACATAGAGGTTAATGAGAATGGCTTCAACCAACATTAAAAAGGGCTTCCTTTGAAAAGCCATGGCTATTTTCTAAGCCTATTTAGTTATTCACAGAAAAATCTGAATTAGCTATGTAGTGCCCATTAGAAAATAAACGTTTTTTGATATTCCAGATTTATGAAGGTATTTCACCCATGAAAAGCTTGCCATGGTGTCTAGGTGTAACTTTGGGAAGGTCAAGGCCAGTGTGTGGTACCAGCCTCTGCTGCACCCAGGAAGACTGCATGGTAGCCCTGGAGCCTTCTGCTGGGTAAAGAGCCAAGGGAAGGGGTGAGGGTGTAGATCAGAGAGCAATTTATCAGCAACTTAAAGTTGCAGAATGAATCTAAATCACAGCTTTGTTCAGGGATCAACCAAGCAACTGCATATGAGGGAAAGACCTGGAAAATGCAAAGAAATGATATAGATACAAAGCATTAACAACCCTAACCCAACACCTAGGGTAAAGGAGGCCTTCAGAATCTTTATGGGAACAGGCAAGGTCTGGTTCCAGCCACAGAGCTCGATTTTCCTTATTGTAACGCTTGATCTGTATGTACTTTCACTCCATTTGAAACACAGCAATTTGAATGTCAATTTGACGGTGTCCAACTCTTTATATAGTCTTTCTTTTTCATAGTGTCCCCAGCAAAGATAAATACTAGGCCAAAGATGCCATTTACTAACGTTTCTCTCTCCCTCCCTTTTCCTTCCCCGTGTATTTCTGGGTATTGCTACAGCTCGAACCCTTAAACATTTAAATGTCTAACCTTCCCAGACCAAAGTTATTCATGATTATTTAGGCAGAGTCTCAGCCCAGAACTGGAAATTGCACCAATTCCACCAATATAAGGGGAGCTGAGGCGCACACATGATGACCTAGGATTTGCCTCACACTGGGCAAAACCCACTGCCACTTGGGAATTTTGCAGAGGCTGAAACTCAGTGGAAATATTTTACCTGTACATCAGGGAAATAAGCCTTCAGAAGGCTGGAGCTGGGGTAGCGTGTGAAGAAAAACATGAGTTTGGCCTTCTTCAGGTGACCAGGATTTAGACCCTCCTGGATTTATCCCAGTGTCAAGGAAAATTAATACCAGTTTATCAAATAATTTGATCAAATTATCCAAACAGTGAATTGTTCTGTTTCTTATGGTTTTTATTTTATTTTATTCTGGTTGAATGGTATATTTGCTTTATTTTTGTGTCTCTAGCCAATCTGATCAGATAAGCTTTTTTTTTTTTTTTTCCTGGATGCTAAATACCATATATATATAGTACAGTTGCAGAATGTAAAAACAATTTTGACCTGTAAAAGTTCTATGGCATATATGATATCAAATACAGTTCGTTGTACTTTGTGCGTGCTTTTAGGAGGATGAGAAGAGATGGCAGCTCTATCCCAGATAAATCATTTCAAACCCCAAACAGAGATTTACTTCCTCTGTCTGCCTCAGTGTCCTCATCTGTGAAACGAGAAGAGCCAACGTGGCGGTCCCCATTCTGGCTCTCATAGCTGCCTTTGCAGTGTTTAAGCCAACAAGCATTTAACCAGACCGAGTCCCAGGTCACAATTCGCTTTGGCTCAAGAAAGTTGAACTGCTGCTTTGCACCTGCTCTTTTTTTGCCTGGCAGAACTTTTCTCTCACCCTTCCTATCTCAACTCAGACGGCTCCTCCTCTGTGAAGCCTTTGCTTGCCGAATTAGGCCTTCCGTATCCTGGGCTACCAGGGCTCTTTGTACAAACCTCTGTTGTAGCAAGAACCTTATTGGAATTTTACCGCATGTTTGTCTCCCCATTTAGACTGTGAGCTCCTCGAGGGCAAGGACTTTATCTTTTCATCTTTATATTCCACATGCCTAGCCCAGTGCTAGGAACATAGTAGGTGCTCAATAAATGTTTGTTAGATAAAGGAATGACTGAATGCTTAAATGGTCGACCTTAATCCATACATAAATATAGATCTCGTCCATACCTCAGTCTGGGAACAGATCTCGTCCCCTTTAACAGGAGCAGGGAGCCGTGGTATGATTGCTTTGCCACCAGGGTGGGAGAAAATAAATATTTTTACACAAGAACACGTAGCATTGCTAGGGACAGTCCCGGGGCTGGGTGACAAGCTTTACACAGGGTAAGTAACCTTGGAGCTTGGGTCTGAGGGGTGTAGCTTCAGGACAAGTAAGACTTCTCAGTAAGATATCTCAGTTTAGCCAAAGGAAACCAACTAATTACACTTATAGCTGGCCCAGGCACCTACGCTGCTACCTGGAAGACCCCTGCCCCCTGCCTCATCGGCCCTACTTCTTATCCTTCTTATAGATTCATGAATGCTGCGGAAAGAACCCTGGATTTGGGAGTCCAAAGATCCAGTTTCAGATGCTGATTTTGCCACCTATTAGCTGTGTGATTTGGGGCAAGCCACTTACCCTCTCTGGGCCATTTTTAAATATGGACTGTAGTGGCTGAAACCTGTGCTTGGCAGTCAGATTGGGGGTTTGAATACTGGTTCTGCCTGTGTCTGTCTTGTAACTTTGGGCAATTTAGTTCACTTCTCTCTCCCTTCCTCTCAGATGCTTGATCTAGAGTGGATGCTTGAGGATTGTGACATACATAATATAGGCCACAATCTCTTATCTGAAACACTGGGCCAAATGGGGTTCAGATTTCAGAATTTCTGTTATTTTATAAAGGTGATATGGTACATGTGCCATACGTTAGTTAACACCTGCAGCGGAGGCTGTGGTAGCAGTCTGTAATCTAACACATTAATATTTCCACAGAAAAATGGATGACTGTACTAAGTGGGTTAGTCTATAAATAGCCTCCAATCAATGCAGGCCAGGTTTTACCACCACCAAAAAAAAAAAAAAAAGCTCCCATCAGCCTTAGGAGAAAGAAATCATAGGGATTTTGAGAGCTTTTTGAGTTTCAGAATGTGGCTAAGTGGTAGTGGACGTGTACATGTGACCTGCTGGTAGCAGTACCTGCCACAGAAAAAGTGCACAGCAAATGCTGCCCTCATCATCATACCTGTTTCACCTGTGTTCACAAGGATGTCATGTGAATGTAAAAGTACTTTTATACTTCAAAGTATCTTGCTCGTAGGTGGCTTTCATGGCCCACAGGAATAAATTTCTAATG